GGCTTTTTCACCTCAGTGTCACCCAGTCAACCACAATAGCAGTGTCAGAAACACAGATCCTCCCCTCCTACTGTCCCATCATCTCCCTATGGCCGTCAGAGGTACAGGATAACTTGTCAGACGGCTGAGAGTTCTTCATTACCTTATTATCTCTTTGATACCTTAAAGGTTTTTAGTTGTCTCATCAATACACATAATGGATATAGCCTATGCCACCATTAGCAGGACACATTTTTAACCTCTCCAAATTAGAGTCCTCTGCTGAAGCCCACCCATCTCATCCCAACCAACCACATGCAAACTTGTTCAAAGGCTGATCTTTCTTCACGTGTTTTCTGTCAAGTAACAAATATTTATGAATCATCATCCCATTTTTCAAAATCCATGAATAATCAAAGACTGCTTTGTGCATCTTGTGATTTCATTCTCCCTAAATGAAGTAGCCAAGAAATTCTTGGAGTTCTGCCCTCTAGTTGTCTCACACCTTTATCCGTTCTCCATTCTCGCTACTCCAGCCTCAGACTTTGAGGTCGTACACTTCTCTTGTTGAAGCCCTCCTCACCTCCAGAAAGTTCTCCTGAATTATGTCAGCACTACATAATATTTCCTCACTCACTGCACTTTCACAGCCATTTTCAAAATCAATATGGTGCCACCTACCATCTTATGCTGTAACATTTTAGTTCCTTTGTTAAGCAGTTCATTCTTCTTTTGTAAGTGGTAAGCACACACGGATATTTAGTGCATATAAATAATGCTTGCAATCCCTTTCTATTCACCACTGTCAGCACCAGCCAGCATTGGCCTGCTCTCAGTATACTTCACCAGCCTTGGGAGCGATGAGCATTTGAAAAAGTCTCTACTGTTCTCTTTCATGTTTTCCTCCCAGATCAGAAGGGAATATCATGAACATGAGTCTGAATTTCTTTAGCGCCAAACACTCGATGACTTCTCCTGTAATGCCTACTTCATGCCTCCCAGCACTTTGTCAAAGATGGATTGATCTTCACAAGATACATTCATGTTGCCTTGAAAGCCTTCACCATTTCCACATTGGCTACAAATCACCATGGATTCAGCTACTGTACCAGGCATGTGACGAATCCCCCATGTATCATTTCATGGATGTGTTGCTTCTGGTAATCCTCTGGTAGTGATAAGGTCCAGGAACACACGATCTGCTTTGACTCCCTTTGACATCTGCTGGACATGTCCATAATTGGGAGGCCTTACTTTGTTTTGCATGTCAGTCATGGAATTGTATACATTTTTGCCCAGATTCTTAGTGCAAAGCCGTGACCCCATAGCTTATTATGGATTGGGGACTTAGGAGAAATCCATCCCAGCAAAGGCATGACCAAGTAATGATGGTGTGCCAGTCCTCAGGTGCAGGGTACTGTGGGACTTTCCAGGATATTGCCTGTGTTCATGTCATGTCTAGATTTTTTCAGTCCTCTGAGAAGAAGTTCACACTGTAGCAGATGAAGTGTGTGACCTCCAAGGAAGATATGGTGACAGGGTGGCATGCCCTGGACTAGTTTGCTCAGAGTGAGTAAAAGCATTCTGGCCTTTGGTTTCAGCTGCAAGTTGCGCCAGGCATCCCCTAAGTAGTTCTTTTCTGGTTCTG